GGGTCGCCCTAGTGTGGACGGGGGGGCCCCCCATTATCAAAAAAAAAAAAAAAAAAGGCATTTGTCCTTGTATTATGCGCGGGGACATAACTTGGGCTACGTTCCGTTGTACACATAATACTCATAAAATATCATTTTATCCTTGTTATTTACAGAGTGTTAAATAAGGATAACATGATACATCATGCGCATTATGCGTGCAATGGAACACGGCCTTATCATCCGACGTGTATAATCGACGAAGAAGAGCTACATTCGGAAACATTACCCGTGTCCCCGTGTGTCGTTTTATCCTTTTTTCACCCAATGTTTCCAAACACAGCCAAGACATGAGAAGGCGTGAGAAAGCATGGTAAGGCATTTGTGTCCTTGTGCATTATATAAATACACCGGTGGTTTTTGGTGATCCGATCTAAAATATTTGCAGAGACAGTTTATTGTGTTTAAAAATGTATATCTACACATTTTCTGCTTAATTTATTAATTTTTCGTTTTAATAAGTATGTATATTTTTATATTTTGCAGTATTTCATTAAGATATAGCTGTAAGCTATTCCATTATACTTCCATTTTTATTCTTTTCTATATTTTTATTGATTTCACAGAATAAAATTGACGACTTAATTGTATTACAACGGTTAACAAAGGAAGAACTTAAGGAATTGGTTCCCTATTTGGGTGATAGAAAAAAGATAGAAATAGCATTATCTGAAAAATCGAGTACAGAAACAGTATTATCTGAAGAAAAATCGAGTCAATCTTCGATATTGCCATTCGAAAAAGTGGTATGAATTTAGTCATTTAACTACATTATTCTAAATTATACTTTTGAATTGTTTGTTTTATTTTTCAATTTTTCTTTAATTATTAATTGATTTCATATTTTTCCAATATAAATATTCTTATAACTATAAAGACAACTTATTGTTTTATAGTTATTTAAATATTTTTATATTTTGCTATTTTAAAGAATAATTTCTTTTTTAAATATTTATTTTATAATATTGTTTTCTCTTAGATACCTTCAAATAAAATTGAAATAAACGTTACGCAAACAGAAGAGCCAGTTACAAAAAAGCCAAAAATTTCGAGTACTTTGTCATCTGACTTAGATGTAGCTTCGACATCGTCATTGTCATCTGACTTTGATGCAGCTTCGATGTCATCACCCAGTCAGAAATGTTGAGTTGATACGACATCAAATCAACATCGAAAACGGAATGTCGAAATTCTGATCGATTCGACGTCGATCGTGTATAAAATATCAACGGCTATTCAACTATATCATATCGACATCGATTTAAGGTCGAAAATCGAAATTAGGTTGAAATAAGGTTGATTTTATTTTTTCAGTATATATATATATAAAAATGTATTACGCACATTGAAAAGTGAGGAAAAGAACCAATTTTATTTCTTTCATTACTTATGTTAAGGAATACACCATTTATATATATAATGTTACCGGACATAATAGGCGCACGTTTCGCGTGCACTACTGACGAGTTTATATCATTATACGTATATAACATTTATTTAATTATACTTATAATCTTCGTCAGTACACACTGTAAGGAATCAAAAAGAACATTATAACATTATATATATTATAAAATATATATATATAAGAACATTATATATATATAGTATATATATATATAATAAAATAGAGTTATAATTTCTTACTAAGTTGTTGATTCAACGTCAAATCAATGTCGATATTAGTTTTTCATTGATTCGACGTCGAATCAACTATGTCAATTACAGGAATATCGATTTTATATCGACTCAACCCGTTGTCAACCGCATCGACGTTGAATCAACTTTGATTCAACTCTACATTTCTGACTGGGCAGTTATTTTATTTGATGAAACATTACAAGTTTCAAATATTAACAGTAACATAAATTCTATGATTAATAATGTATTGAATACATATGAAGTTATCAATTTTGATTTAAGAGGTCTGTTGAGCAATCATATCATAGGAAAAGCTATTCTATTAAAGTTTGAAAAAACAAAAATAATTGATAATAAAGATCGCAATCATTTGTGTGACATCATCATATGTCATTTCTTAAATGAAAAGAAACGTTTAAATAATGCAGTAATAAGCATTTTGGCTGACAAAATAGTTGAAATATTTCAAGGAGAAAGGAAATCTATGTATTTTGTTAGTCCTGTTGGAAAAAAAAGATCACGCTTTAACAAACCAGAAGTAGCCAGAGGAAAATTAATAGATAAGCACAGAAATAAGCTTATTATACTACGACAAACTTTGGCAGCTTCAGAAGTATCTACAGTCAAGGAAGACCAAGGTAAATATGATATTAATACTTACCCGTTGCAAAATTTTTTTTATTTTATGTTTATTACACATTATATTATTAATTTTATGTAGATGTGTCAAAAGAAATACTGGACAGTAAAATATGGCTTCAACACAATAGTGAACCCTTACAAGATGTGATGTATCATTGGAAATTATCTTCTCCAATTAGAAAAATAGGACAATTATCATTAAGTGAATATTTCGAAGAATGGCCTATCTTAAGGACACAAGCAGCAATTAGTTTAGTAAGTGAGGCAATATTAATTTTAATGAATTTTGGTTTGATGAAATTTTTGCTCACTTTAATGACATCGTTAAAATTTTTTTATTACTTTTTTCAGATTGAGTTTGATTTTGAACAAAGATTTAATTTGAAGAAATCTTTTGATTTATCAGAAAAGTTCGAAGTTTTTTTAATAACGTTTACGAAAAGCGTAAGGCGTTACTTAAGCCATCTGATGAATGTTTATTTAATTTGCTTGGAGATCGGATAACAACAGGTAACATTTAATACTATATTGTATTATAAACTGTCTTTGTTACTTTAAGGATGTATTACGTATATTTTTAAAATTATGAAAAAATTACGAATTATTTTAGATCGCATTCAAAAGTAACACATAAAATTTAGCGAAGGTTTATCTGGCTCAAAGTCATTTCAGTAAGAAGTAGTATTTTTATTATTTGTGATCTAATAGAAACGTACGGAAATGTATTATAAAATAGTAACAAAAATGTAAAGTTTTTTGTGTAAATACTTTAAGTATTCAAGATGATTTATGCAAAGTTTTATTGCGATGTAGAGATTAGTTGTTCTGTAAATAAACAAAATATTTCTTTCTTCTACATTTTTGTAATTAATCTTTGAATTGCAATGAAAATTTGCATAAATCATCTTGAATACTCAAAGTACTTATAGAAA